GCGCCCCGCAAGGCTGGCCTGTATCTGATCACAACAGGTGCCTGACAATCTTCAAAGGAAGGAGGGGACAGACGGGGACAGCAGGGCGTGGCTCGTCTAAACCAGGCTGTGCTTCTTTTAATGAATTAATTTTTAATTTACATCCAAACTAGTTAGCATATAGTGCGGTAATGATACAGGAGTAGAGCCAGTGATTCATCCCCTACGTGTGACGCCCAGTGCTCACCCTGAGCGCCCTCCTCAATGCCCCTTGCCCATTTAGCCCTCTCCCCTCCCCTCCAGGAACCCTGTCTGTTCTCCATATTTAAGAGTCTCTGATGTTTCGTCCTCCTCCATTTTTATGTCGTGTTTTTCTTCCCTTCCCTTATGTTCATCTGTTCTGTATCTTAAATTCCACGAGCGAAGTCATAGGATGTCTGTCTTTCTCTAATTTCGCTTAACATAATACCCTCTAGGGGCGCCTGGGTGGCTCAGTCGGTTGGGCATCTGACTTCAGCTCAGGTCATGATCTCACAGGTCGTGGGTTCGAGACCCATGTCAGGCTCTGTGCTGTCGGCTCGGAGCCTGGAGCCTGCTTCTGATCCTGTGTCTCCCTGTTTCTCTGCCTCTAACCCTGCTCACACTCTGTCACTGTCTCTCAAAATTAAATAAATGAAAAAAAAATTAAAAAACAAAAACGAAACAAAAAAACAATACCCTCCAGTTCCACCCATGTAGTTGCAAACGGCAAGATTTCATTCGTTTCGATTGCTGAGTAATATTCCATTGTCTATATATACCATATCTTCTTTATCCATTCATCCACCGAGGGACATTTGGGCTCTTTCCATACTTTGGCTATTGTTGAAACTGCTGCTACAAACATGGGGGTGCACGTGTCCCTTCGAAACAGCACACCTGTATCCCTTGGGTAAATGCCTAGTCGTGCAATTGCTGGGTCGTAGGGTAGTTCTAGTTTTAATTTTTTGAGGAAACTCCACACTGTTTTCCAGGGCAGCTGCACCAGTTTGCACTCCCTCCAGCAGCGCAATAATCCAGGCTTTATTTACTGTTTTCTTCAGTCCATTTCTGGGGCTTATTCCACCATCGTGGCCTTTTCTCGACCCTGGAAAAGAACCCGCTGTCTTCAGCACAAACTTGACGACCGTGATCAGCCCCAGGCTGCTGTGCTCATCCGGGCTGGCGGAGGCACAGGACAGTGCGGGAGGCTGGAAGCCAGGGAGGAGGCTGTGTGTCTCACTCACTGATCGAACCATGCAGACGCTTTCTTCTGAGCGGTGGCGGCACCCACGTGAGCGGTTTGGGACTAACGATGACGACTGCTCACTGTGGACTGACATGGCCCTTCCAAGGGCTTTGTCCTCCACCAGGGAGCAGTCAGCTTACTCTTCTCCTACAAGCGAGGAAACGGAAGCCCAGAGAGGTTACGCAGTGTGTCTCACGTCACACGGCATGTCGGTGGAAGGCTGGGATTTAAGGCCAGGCGCTCTGGCCTCATGGTCTGTGATCTTAAACCATATTGGTACTCAGTAAGAAATTCTGGGCTCTCCTCTCTTGGAAATCAGAAATAGGGTGGCAGATTAGGAGGGCAGAGGGTTTTTTACGCTGGGACACAGGCCTGGGCGAGATGGTCAGAGGGCCAGGAGGATGTGCAGGAAGGGGAGCTGCCTGGGGGTTCTGAGACCAGAGTGTGGGACCCCGGGTTCTCCTCACCCCTGCCGAGGGGAAGAGAAGGGGCGGCGAAGCCGCGTGAGGACAGCGGGACGCTCCAGATCTCAGCGGGCTGACCAGGCTTTGAGAAACAAGACGGGAAACACAGGAAGAACACAGACGGGGGAAGCCGAGGGGCAGCGGCCGGGAAGTGACGAGTCCAAAGGCAGACTGGGAAAGGGTTTCTCCGGAGCCAGGTGTGATGTCGCCACTGACACTTGGACTTGGGGGGCCGAACGGGTAGCAGGTAACCTGCCCAGCGCGGCGCCCAGGCCACGGCCCTCCACACTCTGGGGCTCACGGCTCTGGTCCTTCTGGTCTACGCCCGGAGACCTCACACTGTTCCGGCTGGAACCATAAACCTTTCGGGGAAAGACCGGCAGGCAGATGCCGGCAGGTGCGTGCAGGGGTGTGTGTGAGGTGGTGAGAGCCGTGACGGAGGCCCCTGCCAGAGTCTGCGGTGAAGGATGCGTGAACACCTGTGAGCGCCCCTTCCCGAGTATTTGGGGACTGCAATGTGTCGTAGCTCCCGAACAACTTGCTGGGGCCGCCACAACAAAGCCCCACAGGTGGGGGCTTAGAGCTCAGACGCTTACCCTCTCCCAGTCCTGGGGCTACAGGCCCGCGATGGACATGTCCCTGCTGAGGCCCCCGTGGCCGCACACAGGCATCATCTCTCTGTGTCCTCGTGTGGCCCTCCCTCAGAGCACATCTGTGCCTGATCTCCTTCTCTCCCTGAGTCACTGGGATCAGGGTCCATCCTGCTGACCTCATTTTAACTGAATCGCCA